GCTCGCCCCCTCACTCCGTCCGGGAACGGGGAGCGCTTAATCCCCGGAGGGTTGTTGCCGTGCGTCCGCCTGACCGAGCACGTGCCTCCGCTGCGGCCCCTGCTTCTGCTTCCAGCGCCCGCAGCTTTAACGCCAGTTGCAGCCCTGCGTGGGGATGTGGGTTACGTGTGAGTCTGAAACGCTTCTGTACGAGGAGCCCCATCTCGTGTTTGGCGCCGGTCTGGCGATACCTTCAGAGCCTGCGGGTTTTGCTGTGCCTGCAGGAAACACCTCCAGGAGATCCCATCCTCCAGCAGCAATGTTTCCAGCAGCTTTACCTGGGACTGGGACTGGGACTCCAGCAAGACCTCAGAGTTTCTCTCGGGCATGGGAGTGTCTGTCCTTAAGAAGGACAAGCTGGGCAACGAAAACACACCACAGGACCTGCTGGTGTCGTCGCCCTGTCCTCCTCAGAAACGGCAGAAGGTGAAGGAGAAGGAGAAGGACTTTGTCATTGTGCGCCGGCCTCGGCTGCTCCGGGAGGCAGAGTCAGGTACTGTCACCCCGGTCCAGGTTTCATTCGCCCTTCAGTAGAGATGGAGAGTGGGCATCACAAGTCATTTGTACTTTATTCTTTGCTTTTTTTTTGCTCTTTCCCAGCAGAATATCACTTCTAGATCTAATGGCTTTCAGGCTTGGGCTGATAGGTTCTGGTTTTATGTAAGCCTTTAAGCAGAGGTGTGAGTCTGGCTCCAGAACTGTGGCCCACGGAAGCCGTGGTTGGCTCCTGCCTAGTCCTGCCAGCCCCTGTCTGTGTGCCAGGGGTTTGTGCTGTGTGTCCCTGTGTCTGTCCGCTCTTGCTGCTTGGGACTTGGGTGGCACCTTAGCCCTGAGCTAAGGGGCCTGAGCTGCATCTGTTGTGCTGCCCAACACACCCCTTCCAGGAGATGTTTCGCCACATACCAAGCGGGGCCAGGCTCCTCACAAAATACACCTGTAGCTGCCAGATGAATACGGACTATTGGCGCTGCTGTCCCCAGTATAATTTTGAAACCCAGGGGCACTTGATTTTTTTTTTTTTTTTTTTTAACTTAAGCATCTAAGAAGTAAGACACTTGGTCCTCGAGACCAAAGGGATCCAGATCCACATCTCTCGCAGTGCAGGTTGAGGGATGCTAGAGGGGCAACATCTCTGCTCCTGTTGGAGCTGAGCTGTGAGCAACGCAAGGGACCCTGCCAGAGAGTGACAGGGAAGGTGCATCAAAGCTCCTGGGCTGGAAAGAGACTGGCAAGGAAAGAGCAGGGCTGTAACCTGAAGACCTGGGGCACTTGAAGAAGGGGTTATAGGATGCTGGGGTTCTTTCCCTTGTATCAAAATGTGTTTCCAGTCTGCACCGACTGCAGAATGCAAAATAAAGAAACAGCTCGCTCCGGACACCAGCTGTCCTATGAAAGGTGGGAATGCCCTCAGCTAACCCTGATTTTAAATAAGACAGAGTGCGGGCTCATAGTCAGCTGTTTTTGAGCTCCACCACCCAGAAATCTCCCACGTGAATGGCAACGCCTTCTGGAGCCCTGTATCTACTCGTGAGAAGTTGAGATCACACCACATCCTTTCAGATAATTCTTGGGGGGGGCGATAGTTAGCGTGCATGTTTTAAGGAGCAGTTTGCAGTACCTGCTTTTCTCTGTGTACCATGCAAAAGCATAGCTCACCTTGGGCTCCCTTCTGGGATCCTGACATGCATAGGAAGGATGGGCATTTCAGCAGGGAAAAAAAAAAAAAGAGGACTGAACAAGCCTTAGAATACAAAGGAAGTAACTGAGCTGCTTGTTTCCAAAATGTGAGTATGTGAATAAAGATTACTGTCTTTTTTTTCAGGGAGATTGTTTTTCCATAGCTTTAGTATGTATACTGGCTTGACGTTATGGAAAGCTTTGCGTTTGCCAGTCATACCTAGGCAAAGATGGTAGTAATATCTGTCTACTATGAAGAGCTGGAAGGGGGATGAGTAGTGGGCTGATGTCTGTATAGCCTAGAGAGAGACTGTAGAGGTGCTTTTAACAACCAAGCCAAACAAGGCATCTGATCAGCAGGCAAAAATGAACTAGCTTTAACTAGAATATCTAAAGGTGTTTCTTGGGATGCACTTCCAGATGAATTGCTTTTGGCAATCTTTGCATATTTGCCCCTAAATGACTTGCTAAAGGTTTCCCTGATTTGCAAGAGATGGCATCGTCTTTCGTAAGTATTACTTTTCATCATTTAGTACTAAGAAAACCTTTGCTTCCATAGACTGTTAAATGATCTCATCTTGTTTATTCATGTATAATTCAATTTATGCTCTATGTGGGTTATATGTGTGTAAAAGATGGCTCACATATTTTAACATCAGTAAATTCTGTTAAATAGCTTTCCCTCTTCTCAGTCTTTTGTGACACCAAAAACCTTCTGTGGTTGTATTCATAGTTCTGACCCTTTCTAACTCACTAACAAGTAAAATTCTGTGCCTTAGGTTTGATGAATCTCTCTGGCAGACTCTCGATCTGACTGGTAGAAATCTGCTGCCAGGAGTGATTGGACAGTTGCTGCCTGCAGGTGTTACTGTATTCCGCTGCCCAAGATCTTGTATCGGAAATCCATTGTTTAAAACAAGCAAGTAAGGCTTTTTCTGAATGTTCTGGATCCAAAACCACGTCTCAAATATTCACAGTTTCTCTGTGTATTTTTGCTTTTAAGGTCTCCACCAGTAGTAGCATTTGTGCTGTCTCTGGAGTGTGGAAGAGCTGATCAGTGGTTAGGCATGTATTGAAATAAGAGGATCTGCATTCACCTGTCAGTTATTTAAAACCAAGTTAATGTGATTTTTGAAAGTATCAAGCACCATCATCCACTTGCAATTTATATCTTGTAGAACCAAGAATTGTCAGCATCTCCAGCATTTTTATACGGGAAGCTCAAAAAAATTATTTAACTCCAGCAGGATAGACTTTCAGGTGTTATGACAAGTCCTGTAAATACCTTGAGGATACAAGTTCTGCAGTTTTCACTGCTAGCTTAGCATAAGGCCCAGTGAGACATACTATGTGCAGCTTAATACAGCAGTATAATTATTTTCTGCAAGCTTTGCACAGTTTTAGCGTATGGGGTATAGTTATAGTATGGGAAATTTGCAGAGCAGGTTTTAATGCAATTTTAGTAACCTGCCTTTCTCCTTTTTTAGACCTCTCAGAGTTCAACATATGGATTTGTCGAACTGCACAGTGTCTGTTGCAGATCTCCAGAGTATTCTTTGTCTGTGTGAAAGGCTGCAGAACCTCAGCTTGGAGGGACTAGTGCTTTCTGATGACATTATCAAGTGAGTGACATGTTTGGGAATATTCAGTAAATACCTTCTGTTTGGTGCTATCATTTTGTGCAGGCTAGCAAAAGAATGCAGTTGGGAGTTGTTCATTGTGGGAGTCTTTTGAAATGGCCGGTTTTAGGCACCTCACAGAGCTAGCTGGCAGGCTAGATGAGCTGCCTCTTTCCTCTCTATCCTCCAAGAGGTGAAGTGAGGAGGAAACACCCCTCTGGAAGAGTGTTTCTTTGTGGCTTTTTTTTTTCATTCCCCAGAGTAGGAGGAGCCTGGAGAAACTGCTGATCTCTCTAGGGTTTATGTGTCAATTGGCTGTTCCCGCAGCCAAGCTGTACAGCAGAGCTACTTTTATTTTCCCATTTCTGTGCTCCCAAGGGAACTTTGTCTTTGGCATACAGGTTCTTTTCTATTTTAAGGGGTCTCAGCAGCTCTCCCACCAGATGCTCCGTGTGTTTCTGCACTATTTCTCACTCTGAGTGTCTGGAAAATTACAGATTCTGTCAAGCAGATGAACCGTTGTTTGGTTAAACTGGAAAGACAGTAATGGGTGTGCAGTCCGTCACACCAGGTGACTGTGGAGGTGCCAGGGACCATAGGTCAGATGGCAGAGACTCTGGGCGTCCTGCTTTCTACTTCTGAGCTTTCTGATGCCTTCCTCATCCTAGAGGGGAAAAAAAGAAAAAAAGAGCACAAATAATCCAATATAATTTGGCTTTTGATACCAGATAAAAAATATCTGAAAATTGGGTACTAATTAGGCATCAATGATGGAATTTTATTGCCTTGGGTACAAATATAGATAGGTGGTGTAAGGGTTTTTCCAAGTTTTGCCAACTGCATGTCTGCTCTAGTCCTGCAAACAGATGCATTCAGGGGGATGCTATTTGGACATGTGTTTTGTTCTGGAATAACCTCCATCTTGCAGAGGGGTGACTTCAGAAATGGGATGATTGCTTTGTCTTTTGTAGAGGTATAGTCATCTCTAATAAGCCATGGTGTGTGTTTAATGGCATACAACAGGAGAAGGTGAAAAGAAATTGTTTCCTTAGCAGTTTATAAATATGCAGACTTGTCAGGAATGTCAGATAAATAGGCAAGTATCCCTTTCGAAGTTGTGCCATGATGCAGCAAGTACAGAGTTACCCTTAGTGACTCTTAGGTTGGTCAGTTTACTGAAGATGCAGTGCTGCATGTTTAACGAATAATTCTGTGCCTGGGATCTTAACTCTTGTTTAAAACAATCACAGATCCTACCAATGCAAGCAATGTTCCAACATTTAAATTTTATCAGACTTTTCTTTCTTCTTCTCTACAGGAGCATTGCTAAGAACCCCAGTTTGATGCGACTAAATCTCTGTGGGTGCTCAGGGTTTTCTGCAGAAGCCTTGGAGCTGATGTTGAGCAGCTGTTCTATGTAAGAAAAGTAGTTTTTGCTATTCCTGCTTACTGCTATTCCTGAGAAAAACGATCCTTTTTATTTTTTTCCATAGGCATCTCAACTGTACTTGTCTCGTATCTTTTTTTATGAGTCTGTTTCTGTTCTTAAATGCCTAGCAGTTGATTTATTAGCTGAATAGTCAGATAGTTTCTTTCCATCAAGCTATTTTCTTCTTTAATAGCAAAGATGTACTTCAGTAGTTTTTCATGAGCTTCCTTAATCATCCTTAAAGGAAGTCTTGTTTGTGGGTAAGCCCCATTTATGTTCCTTTGATTATCATGTAAATTTGATTTTCTTAATGAAAGCAGTATATGATCCTCACAAAATGAAAGTGTGTGTTTTGAAACTGGTTGCAAAGGGAGCTCTGGGACTCCACTTTTCAGAGTACAGCATGAATAGCAGAAAACATTGTGCCTTTCAATCCATGATAGAATAATCCTTCAGTAACCTTCTATTTTATGAAGCACTGTGTTCAGATTTACAGCTCCAGTGATTAAACCATCTGCTGGCAGGAAGTCACTGAACTGAGCCCCAGTCGGTCTGGGATTTATATCCTGATCTTTCTGCTGACTTCCTGTGAGATGCTAGACAATCTACTTAATCTTTGCTTTTGCAGAAGCATGTTTTTAATCAAACTGCAAGTTAACGGACGGGCAAAGCCTTAATCTTTCTCTGCCTCTCATGGGTAGATAATGCTTTCTATTCCTTGGTCTGATTACTTGGATCATGAGCTCTTTAGAGAATGGCAGTCTGTACAGTGCACAGGGAATAGCAGATGGCAAACCTGATCCTAGGAATGCTAGTAGTAATTTAACTGTTTTTTTTCATTTACATAGAGATTGCCAGCTAAATGCTCTAGTTGTGCTGTTCACTGTGTCTTCGTCCTCTGGTTACATCTACACCATCTGCACACAAAACAAATACTTTGTCCAAGCCCCAAATCGTGATAGGCTATAGGTAATCAAGCATGTAAAGAGAGTTAAGGTCACAGCATGGCCAATGCTTATATAAAACTATGAAGTATTTTATGCTAATTAGGATTAATTGGTCATCTGACCAATGCTAATAATGGATAGCCTTTTTTCCTTTCAATGTGAACATCTGTTCAGTAGTAACAGATTCAGGTCACAAACCCAGAAGCAAGATGAAAAGACAGTGTCTCCCGTGGCAGTCCCCAGAGAGAACCGTTTCACTTCCTAAGATACTATTGAATCATTCCAGTTGGAAGTGGCCTTGGGAAGTCAGTTTAACCCCTTGCCCAGAGAAGGGTTTAAATTCAGCACTGGCCAAGTTGGTGAGGACTTTCTCTGGTTAGATCTTGAAAACCTCCAAAGACAGATTCCACAGCCTCGCTGGGCAAGCTGCTCCAATGCTTAATTATTGTCATAGTGAAATTTATGAATGTTATGAATACACGAAGTTGGTAGTAGGTGTGTTACACGTTTTTGCCTTAAAAGTATCAACTGTAATAGATAATATCAGAACTCAAACTGTATCTCAGTCATTCTTCCAAACAACTGTTTGTTCATTTGTGTGTAGGTTGGAGGAGCTTAACTTGTCCTGGTGTGACTTCACAGCCACCCATGTCAAAGCAGCAGTCAATCATGTTACTTCAAAAGTAACCCAATTAAATTTAAGTGGATACAGACAGAATCTACAAATACCAGGTAAATAGCAGCATGGTAAACCTTTATCCCTCTATGGGATAAAGCAGCAGGCTTTATATTTTCTTCTGGTTGGCATTCGCTGTGTGTATAGAAAAATTGTGCACTAACACTGATTTTGTGCTCTGTGTAGCTTGATGTTCTTGCTGTCAGAGAATCTTACTCATGTCTCTGGCTCAGCCATGAAGGGTGAGATGATTTGTCTTCTGAACTTAAAAATAGTCAGGTGAAAGCTCATTTCATCTTCAGTTGAAAGGTACAGCCCTTACTTCTGAAGTACATCCTGGAAGCAGGATACACTGGATCCCATGTTCCACCGTGAACTGTAAATTAGCCTTCCAGATACTGTTCTTGGAGCCTTCTTAAGGCTTCTGCTATTGTGGCTGCTTGAAGGTGTCTTCCAAAAGAGAACACTCATACTACTTGAGTTTCAGCCTGACGTGATGTCCTACAGATACCAGTTAATTTGGAAGGCAAATAATCTCAGTAATCAACATTAACTATTTACTTGCTAATAGTTCTAGGAGGGAAGGTTGGGTAAAGTTGCAGGGTAATAGAAAATGCAGAGAAAATTTAGATTTGGGGAGAGGGCACAACAAAGTGGACAAGAGCATAGATAAAAGGTGAAATGGCTTTGGTGGTAAAGAGAAAATAATTTTCTCAATGAGCAAATGTGACGATACGGCATTGGCTGACAAGCAGGTAGCTGACACACAGGCTGTGACCTCTTTTTTCTGTTTAAACGTCACACAGACCTCGGCATGCATTGCCTTGTGGGGAAATACACCAGTCTTCTTTTTATCTCGGCCCAAAACCCGTAAATAAACATGCTACATAATGTCCTTCAAATCAGGAATTTGAACCTTTGTTGATCTTAGCATTAGAGAGAATGTGCGGAGCTCTTCTGTTTGCAAAACACTTTCTATGAGTAATTTTACTCTGTTTCAATGCAATTTATAAGGCATAAGATTTGAATAGTTACTAGTCATTGTAATTTAGGTATTGTTTTCTATAGTTTTTGCGCGTGAATTCTGAAATACCAAAATCCACCTTATTAGCATCTTGCTAATAATAGTGGCCTTTTAGGTGGTATCTGAGCCACAGGTGATTCTATGCTATTTGCAGACAATGAAAAGATGGTCTCAAGAATTTGCAGTTTAAATCAGGAAATCCATAACTTTCATGAGGAAAGAACTTTCTATGAGTAAAAACAGATGCCTAAAGAACTTGATGTTCTGAAAGGGTATTTGATGTGTGGAAAATTTTTGGTATTTTTTCATTACATGTAAGAATTTCAGGCATCTCACCATTACTGTGTCTCAGTAGATTTCTAAGCAATATCACTTGAATGATTCACTTTCTAAGTTGCTGGCACAACTGACTTTTAGGGACACTTCTTTGCACTAAATGGATCTGTTTTGCTGAGGATTAAAAAAATGTCCCTGTAAGGTATCTTGATAGGCAGACTATATGCTGTAAGTCTTAAGCATGAATCTTTTTAACAAAAAGTTGTGCTTCCAATTGTGGGGTTCCAGTAGAGAAGATACAAATGAACATACACGGAAGTGAGTAAGCTGTATAAAGCATGTTCGTCTTGTTACTCGAAGATGGACTGACTCTGTGTGACCTCTTTTCAGACATTAAAACACTGGTGGAAAGATGTCCTTTTCTCGTCCATTTAGATCTAAGGTAAGAAGACCTGTGCAGCCAGTCCTTAAATCCTTCTGGTTCAGGGGATTGCCAATTCTATTATGTAGCAATAGTGCATGATCGTGTAGGATTGCACAACCAGAAAATACTTTCTGTGCTAAACCTACAAAAAATTTGCTATCTGGCATGACTTAATCTGGAGCAGGTAATTAACTTGAAGATTTCTTTGTTACCTCAGCGTAAATTTTACATACATACGGTATCTGTTAACTAACAAGTGATTATAGTCGATAGGTAGAGTGGAAGGAGGCATTTAGATCCATACAGTTTGAGCCTAGCATCCTAGAGAGGGTTTCGTTCAGCTCTGATATAAATTTGTTACTTGGCCATAGAACTGTAAAAAAAAAAAAGTGTATTTTGGTTTTGACCTAGTCAATTAAAATATTTTGAAATCTTGATGTGTAAAGTAATTGCCTTTTCATGGCATGAATTCTGCTGCAGAATATCTGCCTGCAGAGAAGCTTCTGCTTCACTTGCCCTTCAGTGAAAATCAAAATCCGTCCCCCACAACACACACACTAGAAATGGGTTACTTCCATATTGAGCAAAAAAATACTTCAGTGGTAGAAAAAGAAGTTGATATTCATGAAATTTTTCAGCCTGAATTTTGGAAACACCTTTTTGCTTAAACGCCTATTTCATGTGCTCTCATGTACAGTGACAGCGTGATGTTGAAGCCTGAGTGCTTCCAGTATTTTCGTCAACTCAACTTTCTACAACATCTGTGTCTTAGCCGATGTTATCAGATATCACCGGCTGCCTTAGTGTAAGTAATCTCTAAATGGCTTTGGTTTGCTATTCATACAGAGGATAAGTTAATTTAAACTTGCTTTATTTTAGGTTTAGAATTCCAAGAACTGTTTTGAAAAACTTATTGGTATGAGGAATTATTGGTATGAGGAACTGAGGTAAAATAACCTGACTGCTAAAGCATGTACCTTTGAGAATCCAGGCTGGAACCAAAGGTATCTGAGATAATCTTTCCGTGATGTCAGTCTGTACTCATGGAACTTGCTGCTCAGTGCGTACATCATGTCTTCCCTTAATGGCATTATACTACTGGTGCTCATTACTGCGAGGTACAGCTGGATGTTCCAGTCCTGCCAATGATCAGTATTGGTGTCAATATTAGGCTTTCAATTATGCAGCAAGGAAGGTATAGTCCTTTGGAAGAGCTAACAGAGTTGACAGTACTTGAAGACTAGCTAATCTGTTTATATTCCTTTGCTTTTGTGTGCACCTGTATCAGTTACTGGTTGCCAGTGAAACACAGCTTAGAGTTACTTGCATGTGGGTTTTTTCTGCCTTTTATTAGTATAGCAGCTGTCCATCTCAATCCTCTCAGGAAGGATGTCAATCCTAAGGATATGATCAACAAGAAAAAGGTTGTGAGAGGAACAGGACTATCAAAATTGGAATCTGAAGAACCCTTTCTGTAGCAGTGTGTGCTGTCATGATGATAGGTTCCAATTTTGTCCAATACTTGCTTATAGATACACAGTTCACATGATGACTGGGCAAACTGAAGCAATCAAGAAGCCAGGCTGGCTACTCACCAAAATGTCATAACAAATTGGAGACTGATAGTACCTAGGGGCTTGTGTCCTCTGAGCCACATCCTGAAACTTCATCTGGGGCAATTCCTTCCACTTGTTCTAAATATTTAAGTTCAGGGAAATGAAAGGGGAGAAGCCAGTTTGTTTTCACTCTGTGTGAGAGAGAGAACAGCAAGAAGCAATTTATTCAGCTGGTTTCCTGAATTATTGGTACAGAGAACTAGTTTCCATTAAATATGTGCTTTTAAAAAGTAAGAAGGGGAATTTAGCTTAAGTAGTTACCTCACTTCTAAAAAAAAAAAAAAGTAGAAAAACAGTTACCTAGTTTGGGTACAGACTGCAAAAAAAAAAAAGTTTTCAGGTTCGTGATTAATTTCGTATTTTTCTCTTTCTAGAGAACTTGGTGAAATTCCAACGTTAAAGACTCTTCAGGTATTTGGAATAGTGACTGATAGCTCCCTACAGCTCCTCAAGGAAACGCTTCCTGACATGAAGATCAATTGTTCACACTTTACAAGTATCGCAAGGCCAACTGTTGGCAGTAAAAAGAACCATGAGATTTGGGGCATCAAATGCAGATTGACGCTGAGAAATCCTAGTGGCTTATGATTACGTACAACGCACTGGATGCGATGGACACACTGTGTGTAGTGAAGCTCCTTAAGAAGCAGAGTGCTGGAGCACCTTTAATCACAATACTGTTATTGTAAAAAGCCTTCTAACTTGGTCTTATGCCTTAATGTAGTTTAATAAATATTTTTACAGTTTTTTTTTTTACTTAAAGCCCTTAGAAATCTGATGATCTGTGAGCAATTGTAGAATTTTTCTCCAAGTCCTTTTTTTTTTTTTTTTTTTTACAGGGGAGCTTTTTTTAAAAAAATATTATGAAACAATCATAATTAAACAGTGTCAGCCTCTAGCAACTGTTGCACGTTCTGATGCAGCTTTTGTTGCTCTAAGGTTTTTTAAAGGTGCTTTTGGTTAACAGCTCTACAATTCCTGAAATGGCTTGTAGAGGTGCTAGATATTTTAATAAGGCTTATTAAGGAATTGTCTTTGTCTGAGTTTGCAGAACTCAAAATGAATAATGGTATTAAACCTATTCAAATCCTTAATTGAACAAGATGTACTGTCTTGGGGTAAGCTACCCACTGTTTGAGAGGGACAGAGGACTGAGTCTGAATTCACCAAATCTGAAAACAGCAAATAGGGGATGTCTACACAAAAGCAACTAAGAGACAGCTCAATTCTGTACAAGTTAAGAAGCAGTATAAAGGAGCTACAGTGAAGTTTTTCTTTAGCAGGCCACAAAGGTAACATCTGTTCTTAGTATTCTTCATTGTTAGCAAAATATAGTCTGAAAAGCCCATTCAGAATAAGCATCTGTAAAGTAGATGCTGGTTATCAATTGTTTCATGTTGTGGTGCTAGGTCTTCTGACTAAATATTACAGAACCTGAATGTAGTTTCTGTAAGCTTGATCTCAGATAAAACTTTTTAAAAATGTTCTCTTACTTCCTTTAAAGAGTAAGATCCTTCAACTGCAACTGATAAAGTGGCAGAAATCTTGCAGGAGGAGGGCTCAAATGGTTCTAGATCTCAGACCAAAACCAAAACCTGGGACTGCAGCATAAGAGTGCTGAAAGGAAGAGATGCTTTGGTGCTATTAAGACAACAATTTCTCTTTTATAATAGCTTATGTTTGTAGTATCATTTCACTTCTTGTATCTGTAACACTAATCACTACTGTCTAGTGTTGGGTTTTTTTTAAAGTCACATGAAAAGCTGAGTAACTGTCTAAAACAAACCAACAAAAAAAACCCCAAAAAACAAAACCAAACCCAGACTAACGATAGGGGCAGGTAATAACTTTAAAATTTAAACATTGATCTGGGTCTATCATCAGGTCCTTGTGCATAAGCCTGGAATGTCCCAGCAGGTATAAATGTTGGCTGAGAAGTCCTAGGGCAAAACGCACCTTGTGTAGGGCATGAATATGCTGCTGCTGTTCCCGTAAATGCAGCAAGCAGGCAGGTGGTGAATTTATTCATGGATGTTTAAGCTTAACCTACGGTATTACTGTAGGGCTGTTACATAGGTATAGTGTTTCCCATCTCAATCTGAAGAGTTCAGGAATAAATACCTGGTAGTACAGAACAGATTAATTACTGTGGAAAGATTGTATGTATACTAGAATTTGATATTTAACTTTACTTTCTACTGTATAGCAAATACAGCATTACCTTGTTAATCTGTTCTAAGTTGTTTTGGTTTTTATTAAATTTAAGAGCGTAAGTAGCACTTGAGTCACTAATGGGCTTGTTCCCCTTACAAAGGAGTTAATGGGCAACATGCATACCTTGTGAAAGCTGGAGTGGAGAAGTGATGGGAGGTTGGAGGACACTGGATATTATACTACTTCACAGTTTGCAGCCTTAGGTTTATGCCTTAAATTACTTCAAGAAAAAAAGTTGCAGTACAGCACTATTGTAAATTCTTCTCTGCATGCACAGTGTAACCCCATACAACTTCTCTTGCATTTAATAAAGATCTAAGGAATTGCTATATTGTACAAAATGACTGATGGATGGGAGAACACTTTCGCTGACTTGTCACCAACTTTGCATCATGGGTTAAAAAAAAGAGAAATTTGTCCAAGCAATGTCTAAACAAGGGTGGTTTAGAGGACAGGATGTTATCACCAATACATTCAACATTTAATAGGCTGTGCTTTAAAACTGTGTACAAAATTGGGAGAGTAATATGGCTTTAGCTAGAAGAAATAGTCTTGCACTTGCGGTTTTTTTTAAGTACCAGGTTTGGAAGAGGACAAACATTTCTATTGCATATCTATTGGTTACGATGGCAGCAGTAGCAGACACATAATGGAAGCCCTCTGGGTAGGGTGCACCACTGATCTTTTCCTAAGTGAAAAAAGTTATTTGTTAGCTCCAAGCAATCCATACCAAAAACTGCTACCTAGATAAATCTCTGCATTTTACCTAAAGCATGAAGGCTTAGAAACCATTATTTAAAACAAACTGCACAGTAAGTGTAGAAGCTGAGCACATGAAGCACTTCTGACAGTTGAAATAAGGCACAGGACAGCTTCATGTATCTATTAAGTTTTTAATTTTTATTACATAATGTATAAACACCACTTTTTTAAAAAAAAGCAAAGAATGACAAGTCTAGTTTAGCAGAACACAGTGTTCTGGCACTAAATGAAAAGACCATGGATTTGATTCAGCAGGTAGAAAAGGTGCAGAGTTCAGTGCCAGTTCAGGCAGATTAAATCAATGTTAAACCAATACTCAGTCCTGCCACAGAATACTGTCTACCAGGTAAGTTGTCTGTACTGCAATCCTTTGTAATAAAGGATCCTTAAAAAGGATTCTATAATTCTTCAATAAAAAAGGTAGCTGCTTACTGTTTATCTATTATAGATCTCTGAAATCATCCTAGTTATTTAAATCAAGCATTCACCAGTAAATGCTTCAACAGAAGTGCAATTAAATATAGACAAAACCAGTAGAGGCCACTCATGAGTAGGTCAGGTTTCCATTTTGCTAAGTAAGTTAGGAATTTGACTGTGGAATTTCTTACTAAGCCCTAAACCAGATTATACGTTGGGTCTGTAGGGCCTGAAAACATTGCCTTTTAGTCTCAGCATTCATAACAAGGAATGACAGGCATCTTTAAGAGGTATGCACCCTGATCAGACTGATCAGTCTCCATTAAAATATTACAGCACACAAATTCTCTAAGTAGGGGACAGGGTTTTCTGCCATAAATTTATTTATGCAGGTATTCAAAGACACTTTCAATACCTAAACCTCTGATCTAACACAGTGGTAAAGTCCTAGGAAGTCATAAATTAGTGTTAATGGAATTGGTGGGTTGGGGGTTTTTTTGAATCTTAACAGCGTATTGATTAGTATACTAGACAGAGGCAGATAAACCATCCTTAACTGGTTACAGATGGATTAGGAGTAACAAAAAGAGCCTAGCCTCTGAGCAGCCAACTTTCTAAAGAAAGAAAGAATAGTCTTTTGCATCTTTACCTTTAGACCTGTTTTGCAGATTATTTTAGACATTAAGAGCCCTATTCTAATAGTTCCTGAACTTACCAAGTTTTGAAAGAGTATTTGGCTACTTTGATTTTCCCCTTCTGGTCTGCAATCCTGGTAACTCAAGCAGATAGTGTAAATAACTCAATCTGCAGCACATTTAAAAGGTGAAATGTACACAAACAGCGATAGCTTATTCAAAAAGCTCCATCAGTATCACATTTGCCTAGAATTGAATGGTCTGGTAAAATCCAATTTCCTCTAAATTCTGGTTTACAGTGAATACAAACTCTTAAGTAGTAGAAGGAAAAAATCCTTTATCCACTTCCTCCACCTATAAAGATCAGTTTACATTTTGTGAGTAGCAATAAATACACTGATTGGCCACACTGGAGAACACTTCCATTAGACCTGAGAACGTCTGTTACAGAATTCTCTTCATTCAAAAGTAGTTTGAAGAAAACTCACTTTTGGAAATAGATCTGTAGTAGACAGGACCAAACACATTTGTTTCAAGCCATGTAGTTGCTGTAGGAATCTTCATTTTGTCAATTCCACCCTCTCATCTATGCAATTATCAGCACAGACTTTCAAAGGCAGTCATAGTTCACAGTTTCGCTAAAACATTATCTAAAAAGTCACTTCCTCTTCTATAATCAGAGGTTTTTTCCTATTATCAACTTGCTTACTTAACACATGATCAGAGGCATGTAAAATTAAAATTAATTTGTTGCCAATTAAATATTAGTAGAATTCATCATAGGATTGGAAATTTAAGCTTTCTGGGGAAGTTCAAAACATACTTGGAAAACTGGGAGACATATAGATATTAACTTGTGCTCCAACTACTAGCACCCAGCACATTCATTCTTCTTCAATTATAAAGAAACTCAGAAAAATTCCAAACCATTCAACTTAGTAAGGCCAAATAGCTTCCTAAATGGTAGCCACCTACATACACTACTGTGACTGAACACCTGCTAGCCAGCTAATCCATTCAATGAAGGAGTATATCTTACTTCAACATGTTTCCTATGGTTTGTATATTCCTACTAAAGGGCTCAAGAAAACCCTTGGGTTTCAAGTCCCTCTCTAGTCAAAGAAAAAAGGTAAGAGCTACCTCATTCAAGATGTGGTTAAACCAGACTTTTACTTTTGATGTAAATCTACAAAGTAGAAAAAATACTAGAAGAGGAAAAAAAAATTGTCACAAGTTGTATGAAACTACAAAGTTGTAAAATTTTTGAAAAGCATACAAAAGGTTTGTATTTCCATTTCCATTACGTCAACATTAGGATTTACCAAAATTTATATATCCTGGCACCAAATTGCTAGATTGACAGTCAACTTTTCTACAAAAGTATATGTATGAAGGTGTTTAGTTTCATCAGTCCCAGACTGTTACTACAAAACTGTACATCTGAATATTTAATGCTATTGACTTAATACTTGAACCCATCTACCTGTGTTTGAAAAGATGTTCTTTCATGTTTGCCTTACAGGTTAAAATGTCAATTTGCACTGAAGTTAGAGGTAAGACTTCAGATATATTTCTTTTACACCAGATGCAAAAAGAGCATAAATATCAGGCTAAGTTTTCCCCAACTCAAAGGAATTAAAAGCATTTCAAGCTTTCTCCAAATGCTCTTGCATCCAAATAGACCGACTTCCAACTTAATACAGCATTGTGATGTGCTGTC